TTATAGACTAGACTATAGACTAGACTATTGACTAGACTATAGACTAGACTATAGACTAGACTATATACTAGACTATATACTAGACTATAGACTAGACCATAGACTAAACTATAGACTAGACTAGACTATAGACTAGACTATAGACTAGACTATAGACTAGACTATAGACTAGACTATAGACTAGAATATAGAATAGACTGTAGACTAGACTAGACTATAGACAAGACTATAGACTAGACTATAGACTAGACAATAGATTAGACTATAGACTAGACTATAGACTAGACTATAGACTAGACTATAGACTAGACTATATACTAGACTATAGACTAGACTATAGACTAGACTATAGACTAAACTATAGACTAGACTATAGACTAGACTATAGACTAGACTATAGACTAGACTATAGACTAGACTATAGACTAGACTATAGACTAGACTATAGACTAGACTATAGACTAGACTATAGACTAGACTAGAACATTAAGAAATAAATAGGTTACATAAATTAATATGTATGTATTTTAGACTAGACTATAGACTAGACTATAGACTAGACTATAGACTAGGCTAGAACATTAAGAAATAAATATGTACATAAATATATATGTATGTATTTTAGACTGACCGGATATTATATGTAGAGAAAAAAATGTCGGAATATTGTTCGTCTTAATCCCACATTATGATTCCCTTTGCCAAATAGGATATTAGCTTTGTTTTGAGGATACTAGTTTACGGTTCTGGAGTTATAGCTTCATATGTAGGATTTTTCAAACTTTGAGTGACTAGCGGCACCGTGTTAACGTCTGTTAATCGAGCTCCAAATTTCGGCTCAATCCAATATCTGGAAAGAGAATGAATCATTTGTAGGATTAAGACGAACAAGATTCCAATACCGACTTTTTGCGGTCACACTTATGTATATGTATATCAAAATATTTAACCAATACTTACATCTGACTTTCTTCTTTAAGTAGGTCATTCAAATAATTACGCAAAAAATTTATATGTTCAAAGTACGACATGTTGGTACCAGATTCCATTTGTATGGACTTTTTCTAGTTCGCTTTTATAAGCATTAAGAATTACGTTATATTTCTTTTGAACCCTTTCCATTCTCGTATTTTTATCGATCCTTCTATATTTTGCCAAAAGACTTTCCCACGACTTTTTCTTTCATTTAGATCTTGTATTGCTCAGTATCAGTTTTCCAAATGGCAGTTTCTTCCTTCAAAATTTCGATAAATGCCCGTGTTAAGTATTCACTACGATCTGTTTTTAACTGAAATGAGAAAATTTCAAATGTGTTTCGGATAACGGAATACCGTTCCAGAAATATAAAATTGGGTAAGTGATGGGACTTTTTTAAATTCTTCTAAAATTGTTGTCATTAAAATTATATTTTCTCAAAATTTCGACCAAATCTTTCCAAAGAGAATTATCCAAACAAAATGGATATTTTTTTATGCCCACAAAATTTTCAAATTCTTCGGATTTGTACGATTACAGCTCCATAAACCAACAACAAAGTGTCGAGCACATACAATCCAACGCACAGTGGTATAGAAATAAAGAAAGAGGGGAAATGATTATGTTACTTTTTAAATGGTTATCCGATTTAATAAAATTTTTAAATTTGAGTTTTCAAATGCGCATATCTCCTAAGCTGTAAGAGATTCGTCGAGGGATACTATCTTCAATCGGAACAGAAATGAAGAAAAAATTACAAATTTATCATACAAACATATCATGAATAGAATAGACTATAGACTAGACTATAGACTAGACTATAGACTAGACTATAGACTAGATTATAGACTAGAATATAGACTAGACTATGACTAGACTATAGACTAGACTATAGACTAGACTATAGACTAGACTATAGACTAGACTATAGACTAGACTATATACTAGACTATAGACTAGACTATAGACTAGACTATCGACTAGACTATGACTAGACTATAGACCAGATTATAGACTAGACTATAGACTAGACTATAGACTAGACTATGGACTAGACTATGGACTAGACTATAGACTAGACTATAGACTAGACTATAGACTAGACTATAGACTAGACTATAGACTAGACTATAGACTAGACTATAGACTAGACTATAGACTAGACTATAGACTAGACTATAGACTAGACTATAGACTAGACTATAGACTAGACTATAGACTATGGACTATAGACTAGACTATAGACTATGGACTATAGACTAGACTATAGACTATAGGCTATAGGCTATATTATAGACTAGACTATAGACTAGACTATAGACTAGACTATAGACTAGACTATAGACTAGACTATAGACTAGACTATAGACTAGACTATAGACTAGACTATAGACTAGACTATAGACTAGACTATAGACTAGACTATAGACTAGACTATAGACTACTATAGACTAGACTATAGACTAGACTATAGACTAGACTATAGACTAGACTATAGACTATACTAGACTAGACTATAGACTAGACTATAGACTAGACTATAGACCTAGACTATAGACTAGACTATAGACTAGACTATAGACTAGACTATAGACTAGACTATAGACTAGACTATAGACTACTAGACTAGACTATAGACTAGACTATAGACTAGACTATAGACTAGACTATAGACTAGACTATAGACTAGACTATAGACTAGACTATAGACTAGACTATAGACTAGACTATAGACTAGACTATAGACTAGACTATAGACTAGACTATAGACTAGACTATAGACTAGACTATAGACTAGACTATAGACTAGACTATAGACTAGACTATAGACTAGACTATAGACTAGACTATAGACTAGACTATAGACTAGACTATAGACTAGACTATAGACTAGACTAGACTAGACTATAGGCTAGACTAGACTATAAGCTACACAAGACAAGACTATAGACTAGAATCTAGACTGGACTATAGATTAGACTATAGACTAGACTATAGACCAGACTATAGACTAGACTATAGACTAGACTATCGACTAGACTATAGACTAGACTATCGACTAGACTATAGACTAGACTATAGGCCATATAAGACAAACTATAGACAAGACTAAAGACTAGACTAAAGACTAGACTATATCGACTATAGACTAGACTATAGACTACACTATAGACTAGACTATAGACTAGACTATAGACTAGACTATAGACTAGACTATAGACTAGACTATAGACTAGACTATAGACTAGATATAGACTAGACTATGGACTAGACTATAGACTAGACTATAGACTAGACTATAGACTAGACTATAGACTAGACTATAGACTAGACTATGGACTATAGACTATACTATAGACTAGACTATAGACTATAGGCTATATTATAGACTAGACTTAGACTAGACTATAGACTAGACTATAGACTAGACTATAGACTAGACTATAGACTAGACTATAGACTAGACTATAGACTAGACTATAGACTAGACTATAGACTAGACTATAAACTAGACTATAGACTAGACTATAGACTAGACTATAGACTATACTAGACTAGACTATAGACTAGACTATAGACTAGACTATAGAAGACTATAGACTAGACTATAGACTAGACTATAGACTAGACTATAGACTAGGACTATAGACTAGACTATAGACTAGACTATAGACTAGACTATAGACTAGACTATAGACTAGACTACGACTAGATATAGACTATAGACTAGACTATAGACTAGACTATATACTAGCTATAGACTAGACTATAGACTAGACTATAGACTAGCTATAGACTAGACTTTAGACTAGACTATAGACTAGACTATAGACTAGACTATAGACTAGGACTATAGACTAGACTATAGACTAGACTATAGACTAGACTATAGACTAGACTATAGACTAGACCATAGACTAGACTATAGACTAGTACTATAGACCTGACTATAGACTAGACTATAGACTAGACTATAGACTAGACTATAGACTAGACTGTAGACTAGACTATAGACTAGACTATAGACTAGACTTCAGACTAGATTATAGACTAGACTATGAAGTCTGGCTCTTACTATTTTAATATAAAAGGAACTTAAATTTTATGTAGTATTATAGACGTGGATACACAAGATCCTATGATGCTGGGGTTTTTTAACAGTCATAATTGAAACTAAAATATGACGAGAATGATGTAAGCAGCCTCTAGTTTGCTGAAGAATCTAATGAAACCTTACAGAAGTCCTAATTTAATCACTGAAGAGCAGAATTTTAATTATAGATTTTCAAGTGCTCACAGAATAGTGGATCGTTGCCGGATATTACGATCAACTATTAATTTGTGGTGCCCAGAAACATTAAGAAATAAATATGTACATAAATATATATGTATGTATTTTAGACTAACCGGATATTATATGTAGAGAAAAAAATGTCGGAATATTGTCGTCTTAATCCCACATTATGATTCCCCTTGCCAGATAGAATATTAGCTTTGTTTGAGATACTAGTTTACTGTTCTGGAGTTATAGCTTCATATGTAGGATTTTTCAAACTTTGAGTGACTAGCGGCACGTGTTAACGTCTATTAATTGAGCTCAAATTTCGGCTCAATCTCAATATCTGGAAAAGAGAATGAATCATTTTGTAGGATTAAGACGAACAAGATTCCAATATCGACTTTTTGTGGTCACATGTATATGTATATCAAAATATTTAACAATACTTACATCTTGACTTTCTTTTTTAAGTAGGTCATTCAAATAATTACGCAAAAAATTTATATGTTCAAAGTACGACAATGTTGGTACCAGATTCTCATTTGTGTGGACTTTTTCTAGTTCTCTTTTATAAGCATTTAGAATTACGTTATATTTCTTTTGAACCCTTTCCATTCTCGTATTTTTATCGATCTTTCTATATTTTGCCAAAAGACTTTTCCACGACTTTTTTCTTTCATTTGGATCTTTGTATTGCTCAGTATCAGTTTTCCAAATGGCAGTTTCTTCCTTCAAAATTTTGATAAATGCCCGTGTTAAGTATTCACTACGATCTGTTTTTAACTGAAATGAGAAAATTTTCAAATGTGTGTTCACTAGAAGTGCTCAAAAAATATGAATTTTGCTTGGATTTTTGTTCATCGGATAAATCGGATAACGGAATACCGTTCCAGAAATATAAAATTGCGTAAGTGATGGGACTTTTTAAATTCTTCCAAAATTGTGTCATTAAAATTATATTTTCTTAAAATTTCGACCAAATCTTTCCAAAGAGAATATCCAAACAAAATGGATATTTTTTTATGCCACAAAATTTTCAAATTCTTCGGATTTGTACGATTACAGCTCCATAAACCAACAACAAAGTGTCGAGCACATACAAATCCAACGCACAGTGGTATAGAAATAAAGAAAGAGGGGAATGATTATGTTACTTTTAAACGGCTTATCCGATTTTAGTAAATTTTAAATTTGAGTTTTCAAATGCGAATATCTCCTAAGCTGTAAGAGATTCGTCGAGGGATACTATCTTCAATCGGAACAGAAATGAAGAAAAAATTACAAATTTATCATACAAACATATCATGACTATCCTGGTAGGCCCATGTAGTTCAAATTGAAAACCTAACTAAACTCGTCAACACTTGCTCTTTTACGTTTGTAAAATTTCATTAGAATCGGACGACAAACCGTTTAGAATTTACAGAATTATTTTCCTCATTTTTGTATTTCTATACCACTGTGCAACGCTTTTTTGGGAGGAGAGTTATATTTACGTTGCTTGCGAGAGGAACGGATGAATCCTTTCTAGTCCTTTTTCGATATGCATGGGTGTGTTTGTTGTTGTTGCTGGAATCATGGTCACTGTTATTTATGTTGCTATTGAAAGAAGATGAAGCAGATGAATCACTTATAAGATCAATTTCCGTAGGCATGGGTGTGTTGTTGTTGTTGCTGGAATCATGGTCACTGTTATATATGTTGCTATTGAAAGAAGATGAAGCAGATGAATCATTTGTAAGATCAATTTCCGGAATCGTGCGTGTGTTGTTGTTGGAATCATGGCCAGAGTTATTTACGTTCTGAGGATTGAATCTTTCTCTTGGATCTATGATTTGACATAAAAAACAATATTATAAACCAAACAGGGGAAAAAAAAGTTTTTTAAAAATTTTTTTCACACTAAAATATTGTTTGATTTCGGCCTTCTCCGAACTAACTAACACTAACTAACTAACTAACTAACTAACTACCTAACTAACTAACTAACTAACTAACTAACAACGAACTAACTAACTAACCTAACTAACTAACTACCTACTAACTAACTAACCTAACTAACTAACTAACTAACTAACTAACTAACATAACTAACTAACTAACTAACTAACTACTAACTAACTATATAACTAACTAACTAACTAACTAACTACGAACTAAACTAACTAACTAACTAACTAACCTAACCTAACTAACTACTAACTAACTAACTAACTAACTAACTAACTAACTAACTAACGAACTAACTAACTAACTAACAACTAAATAACTAACTAAACTAACTACTAACTAGACTAACGAACTAACTACTAACTAACTAACTAACTAACTACTAACTAACTAACTAACTAACTAACTAACTAACTAACTAACTAACTAACTACTACTAACTACTAACTACTACTAACTAACTAACTAACTAACTAACTAACTAACTAACTAACTAACTAACTAACTAACTAACTAACTAACTAACTAACTACTACTAACTAACTAACTAACTAACTAACTACTAACTAACTAACTAACTAACTAACTAACTAACTAACTAACTACTAACTAACTAACTAAACTAACTAACTAACTAACTAACTAACTACTAACTAACTAACTAACTACTAACTAACTAACTAACTAACTAACTAACTAACTAACTAACTAACTAACTAACTAACTAATAACTACTAACTAACTAACTAACTAACTACTAACTAACTAACTAACTAACTACTAACTAACTAACTAACTAACTAACTAACTAACTACTAACTAACTAACTAACTAACTAACTAACTAACTAACTAACTAACTAACTAACTAACTAACTAACTACTAACTAACTAACTAACTAACTAACTAACTAACTAACTAACTAACTAACTAACTACCTAACTAACTAACTAACTAACTAACTAACTAACTAACTAACTAACTAACTAACTAACTAACTAACACTAACTAACTAACTATACTAACTACTAACTACTACTAACTAACTAACTAACTAACTAACTAACTAACTAACTAACTAACTACTAACTAACTAACTAACTACTAACTAACTAACTAACTAACCTAACTAACTAACTAACTAACTAACTAACTAACTAACTACTAAATAACTAACTAACTAACTAACTAACTAACTAACTAACTAACTAACTAACTAACTAACTAACTAACTAACTAACTAACTAACTAACTAACTAACTAACTAACTAACTAACTAACTAACTACTAACTAACTAACTAACTAACTAACTAACTACTAACTAACTAACTACTAACTAACTAACTAACTAACTAACTAACTAACTAACTAACTACTAACTAACTAACTAACGAACTAACTAACTAACTAAACTAACTACTACTAACTAACTACTAACTAACTAACTAACTAACTAACTAACTAACTAACTAACTAACTAACTAACTAACTAACTAACTAACTAACTAACTAACTAACTAACTCAACTAACTAACTAACTAACTAACTACTAACTACCTAACTACTAACTACTAACTACTAACTAACTAACTAACTACTACTAACTAACTAACTACTAACTAACTAACTAACACTAACTAACTAACTAACTAACTAACTAACTACTACTACTAACTAACTAACTAACTAACTAACTAACTAACTAACTAACTAACTAACTAACTAACTAACCAACTACTAACTACTAACTAACTAACTAACTAACTAACTAACTAACTAACTACTAACTAACTAACTAACTAACTAACTACTAACTAACTAACCTAACTACTAACTAACTAACTAACTAACTACTAACGAACTATACTAACTAACTAACTAACTAACTAACTAACTAACTAACTACTAACTAACTAACTAACTAACTAACTAACTAACTACTACTACTAACTACTAACTAACTAACTAACTAACTAACTAACTACTAACTAACTAACTAACTAACTAACTAACTAACTAACTACTAACTTAACTAACTACTAACTAACTAACTAACTAACTAACTAACTAACTAACTAACTAACTACTAACTAACTAACTAACTAACTAACTAACTAACTAACTAACTACTAACTAACTAACTAACTAACTGACTAACTATGGCGAACCGCAAATAATACCAGAAACAAGACGCAAGTACCAAGGTTTATAAGTAATGAAAACATTCATTTTGATAAAAAATTGTATACTCTTCACTTTCGTGAAAAGGTTATATACATACATATGAGTTTGTTATTCCGGATCCATATAGATAGTGTAATCGAATAAGCCATGTCCGTCTGTCTGTTGAAATTAATTTTCTCGGACATCTTTGGGATGCAAATCTTGAATAATACTGTCAGACATGCTTTCGAGAAGATTTCTATTTAAAATCTTTGATAAAAAAGCAACAAACAACATAGTTGCTTTTTTTTTAATTTAGAACAACAGGTGTTCGTTGAGCTACGTCATGTCAGCAAATAAAATTATTAAAAAAAACCTTTTTTTTTTGTAAAAATTAAAAAAAATTAAAGTAGTGCGCGGTGAAGAATTGCAAAAGCACCACCAACAACTCCAAGGGTGCGAAATTTGTTTTTTATTTCCGACGGACGCTTCCATTCGGAAGCAATGGATAAGTTTTTGTTTTTTATACCCTCCACCACCATCAGTGGTGATAGAGGGTATATATAACTTTGTCATTCCATGTGTAACACCAAGAAATATTCATCTGAGACCCAACAAAGTATATATATTCTGGGTCCTTATCAAATTCTGAGTCGATTTAGCTATGTCCGTCTGTCTGTCCGTCGGTCCGTCTGTCTGCCTAAAACACGCTCACGTTAAAACTAAGCAAAGGAAGTACACCAAATTCACCGAGAATATTCATTGTTGTCCTAGGCAGTTTGGTATTGAAAATGAGCCAAATCGGTTCATACCGGGAAAAGTTATGAATCAAAATTTAAAACAACCTCGAAAAAATAAGCATTTTTTACACATTCGGATGCAATTTTCGCGAAAATTATGCAAGATAAATTCATGAAAATCACCACGAATAAGTTTCTACACGAGAACTTGATCCCTGTTGGAAATTACTAGAATCGGTCCACAATTTCATATACCTCCCATACAAAGTACATATTCCCGAAAAATGGGTTTTTGCTAATAACTTCCGTCACAATGTTGATATCTTCACAAAATTTTACAAATTAAAATCTTATATCAATAGAATTCATTCAGAGACAAAATTTTTTGGATCGGTCCATAATTGGTCATAGCTCCCATACAAGGTCCCCTCCCGAAAATCACTTAAGCGCGCATAACTCATTACTTAATAAAGATATCCATATAAAATTTGATACAAGTATTGCTTATCTGTACAGAAATATTACTGAGAAATTTTTTTCCGATCGGTCCATAATTGGTCATAGCTCCCATACAAGGTCCCCTCCCGAAAATCACTTAAACGCGCATAACTCATTACTAAATTAAGATAACCATGTATAATTTGGTACACATATTGCCTATCTGTATAGAAATATTACTAAGAATTTTTTTCGATCGGTCCATAATTGGTCATAGCTCCCATACAAGGTCCCCTCCCGAAAATTACTTAAACGCATATAACTCATTACAAAATTAAGATATCCATATGAAATTTGGTAAAAGTATTGCCCGTATGCACAAAAGTATTACTGTGAAATTTTTTCCGATAGGTCCATAATTGGTCATAGCTCCCATACAAGGTTCCCTCCCGAAAATCACTTAAAATCACATAACTCATTAGTAAATGAAGTTTGGTACAAGTATAGTTGTTATATACAGAAACATTACTATGAAAGTTTTCTTGGATCGGTCTATAATTAGTCATAGCTCCCATACAAGGTCCCCTCCCGAAAATCACTTATAAGCGCGTAACTCATTACTAAAGTAAGATATCCATATAAAATTTGGTACAAGTACTGCTTATGTGACTGAGAAATATTACTGAACATTTTTTTTCCGATCGGACCATAACTGGTCATGGCTCCCATAAATCACTTAAAACCACATAACTCATTAGTAAATGAAGATATCCATATAAAATGTGGTTCAAGTATTGCTCTTATATACACAAATATTATAATGAAAATTTTTTGGATCGGTCTATCATTGGTCATAGCTCCCATACAAAGTCCCATCCCGAAAATCACTTAAACGCGCATAACTCATTACTGAATTAAGATATCCATATAAAATTTGGTACAAGTATTGCTTATATGCACAGAAATATTACTGTGAAATTATTTTCCTATCAGTCCATAAATGATCATAGCTCCGATACAAGGTCCCTTTCAGAAAAACACTTAAAGGCATGTAGCTCATTACCTTTGGTACAAGTATTGCTTATATGCACAGAAATATTACTGTGAAATTATTTTCCGATCGGTCCATAATTGGTCATAGCTCCCATACAAGGTCCCCTCCCGAAAATCACTTAAACGCGCATAACTCATTACTGAATTAAGATATCCATATAAAATTTGGTACAAGTATTGCTTATATGCACAGAAATATTACTGTGAAATTATTTTCCTATCAGTCCATAAATGATCATAGCTCCGATACAAGGTCCCTTTCCGAAAAACACTTAAAGGCACGTAGCTCATTACCTTATAACCCATAAAATATTTGGCATAAAAATTATTTTTGTGCACTTAAATGTTATTTCAAATTTTTTTCATGATTGGTCCATTCTTGGTCATAGCTCTCATACAAGGTTCCCTCCCGAAAATCACTTAAACGCACATAACTCATTACCAAATATTGATATCCATACATTTAGCAAAAATATACATAAATTAACCTATACAATTGTTGTACTCTCTCATACTAGGTCTCCTCCAGAAAATCACTTAAATGCACAATATTCATTACCAAATAATGATATAGATACAGAATTTTGAAATTTTGTCTATATATACATAATTGGTCATAGCTCCCAAACAAGGTCCTTTTACGAAAATCTCTTAAACGCACATTACTCTTTACCAAATAAAGCTATTGATACAAAAATTTGGCATAAATGTTAGTTTTTGTATACAAAAATTCTATTTCCAGATTTTTTTTCACGATCGTGGGTGCGGTCGGTCCCATAAAAGTTTCCCTTCAGAAAATCAAATAAACGCTCATAACTTATTACAAAATTACGATATAGATACAAATTTTGACTGAAATATAGTTTTAATGTACACAAATTTTGCTTAAAGAATTTTTTACGATCGGTCTATAATTGGTCATATCTCCCATACTAGGTCCTGCCCCTAAAAGCACTTTAGCCTTAATTAACTAGTTGCATTATCAATTAGTGTATATATGTATTTCGAAAATCCTTAAATCTTTCACACACATACAAATTACTAAATATCGCTAATATATAATAATAATATATTTTTATAGGGCCATATCTAAGGCCCTATAAAAATATAAAAGAAAATGGCGTTAGTAATGTTCAATAAATCTTGGAATTGTAATAGATTTAAGCTGTTTAAATCTTGGGATTTTTCTATTTAAGACATGAGAAAACTTATTTCTACAAGCTGGTGGAGGGTATTTAAGATTCGGCTCAGCCGAATATAGCACTCTAACTTGTTATTTTCCAAAAATGTCACTTTGTTTATGTTTTGCTTAAATATTTATACCCTACACCACTTTAGTGGGGCGGGTATATTGGATTTGTGCTGATGTTTGTAACATACAAAAATATTAAAGTATACCAATCGGCTTAGAATCGTTTTCTGAGTCGATTAAGCTATGTCCGTCCGTCCGTCCGTCTGGCTGGCTGGCTGGCTGTCCATGTAAACCTTGTGCGCAAGGTACAGGTCGCAATTTTCAAGATAATTGGATGAAATTTGGCACGCACGTTTTATTTGACCTAAGGACGAAGCCTATTGAAAATGGTTAAGATCGGTCCATTATTTCACCTAGCCCCCATAGAACAGAACCCCCCGAAAAGGGCTTCTGAGCTCATAATTATGTTAAATATACAGATATATCGATAAAATACGGCACAACTAAGTTTTATAGAAGTCTTGATGACTCTGCCAAATTTCATAAAGATCGGACCCCATTTGACCCTAGCTCCCATACAAAGTCCCCTTCAGAAAATTACTTGAATGTCCCAAATTAACATATAAACACAAATATCGCGATGAAATTCAGCACAATAAAATATTATGTCAATATAAATATATTCACAAAATTTTATCGGGCTTGGTCCATATTTGCCCCTAGCCCCCATATAAAGCCTCTTTCAGAAAATTAGTTTTTCATCCATAAATTGCTTAAATGTATCGGAACAAGGGAATATTGAAGATAAATGCTTTATTATGAAAATAAATCACATTTAATATTCATAACTGCTGTAGGGTATCATATGGTCGGCCACGCCCGACTATAATTTCTTACTTGTTTTACATACTGAATGCGTAATCTATGTTTCTATAATTCTTGGAAAAAACGTACATATGTATGTATGTATGTTTGGATGTGTGCTGGTCTCATTGCTTTTCGTATTTGGTTTTTTTTGCGTTTTGTTTTGTTTTGTTTGGCGTTCTTGTTGTTGTTTGTTAGGTTTTGCTATATAATATATTTATAGTTCCGTTTGAAATATTGATTTGTGAATCCCCGAACACAAACTACAACACATAGTATATTAAATATTTTAAATTTTTATTACTCACGTTTGTGTATTTAGAAACTGGTCCAAAAATGATAAGCTTTCGGCGTATTTATATGGCACTAGTTTTGTTTTTCGACTCCCAGATGTCATGTCTTTTAGCTTTTTATTCTTCTATAGGAACTTCTCAAACTTCGCCATCTTTTTTTTCAAAATCAACTTTAAATGTATATAAATATGTAAAAATAATCAAATACATTTAAAAAACTAAAAATTGTTTAATACGGAATAGTACTTACCTCTCATGTCATTTTTTTTTGCAACTTTTTTCCAATTTTTGCGTCTGATCTTAATTGTTTTGGAATCTCCAATTGATTATTATATAAAAATTTCATATTTTTCAACTTCTTCAATAATTTTTCACATATTCTATCCATTTTTTATTATTTTTTTTTTTGAATAAATTATTAATTTATTTTAAAACGTAAGCGATGAGAGGCTATGTTAAGCAAAGTGTTTTATTAACTCAATGACACGAACAAACAAAAAAGCGGGAATATGATTTGGTAAATTTCAGATTTTAAACATCCGAAACAACTAAATATGGTTTTCAATGAAGCGGTCACAATCAATATGCCAAACTTGTGCACGAAGTACATAAGTTGAAAAATATTCAAATTTGGCATACGAAAATGAGAGAAGAGAAAATGAGAATAAAAAAAAAACAAAACTCAAAATTATTGTTTGTTATACCCTACACCACTTTAGTGGGAAGGGTATATTGGATTTGTGCTGATGTTTGTAACGCAGAATAATGGTCCTATAACCGCCTTTAAGTA